GGATAGAAGTGACAAGAAGACGAGGAAGAAGACGTAAGAAGATGCTGGATGACCTTGGGGACAGAAGAGGATACTGTCATTTGAAGGAGAAAGCTCTAGATCGCATTAAATGGAGGAATTGTTTTGGAAGAGACTGTGGACCTGTCATCTTGACAGATTACTTATGTTGGTGATGATACTGAGGTGCTCTCCTTAATAGGACAACAGTGTGCTCTGCCTGTCTGGATTAAATGCTTTCTGCAGAGCTTGCTTATAAAGAACAGAAACACCTAACATCTCTTTTTGATCCACTGGCAGACAAGCACCTAAGTTGACTTTGTCAAGTTCACCACTAACTAGCAGAGGTGAATTTATTTCAGTCACAGCTTGACCAACGATAATAATTGGGTGAGTGATTTGGTGTTTATCTTCCCTTGCATTAATATCCTCCTGCACATTATTCTGAATGGTGTCATTGCAACAGAAGGGCAGCACCTTTCCCAATCATTATAAACATCCAGTAGAGCAGCCGTGTCAAACATGCGGCCCCTATAGCCACAAAGTGTGGCCCCTGAACTTTTAGAGCTAATTGATATTAAAATGAATATTAAAATTTTAGTAGAAATATTTTTTGTAAAGACAATTTTCCAACAGACCAGAAGACAAGAAGTCTCACGCAGACATAAATTAGCAGTCTGCAGGAAAAGTGATTCTGAGAATTGCAGAATGGTTTGTCCAACTAACGGTTTGTAAAGTTCATGAAGGACAAACTATTGTATTTCAGAAGGTTAATGCACTAAAATCCGCACAGCCTCACCACCCCAAGTATTTCCAAGAATCCCTTTTGGAGGTGTAGTATGAATGCAAGGAGAGTGGCAACTGACAGACAAGTGCAAGGGATTTCTACCTTCAAAACTAGCTTGCAACCCCCAGTCATTGTCTAATGGGCTACTAGCAGACTTTCACTTTTATGACCGTTGAGACAAGATACACCTTCCTACTAGTCCGATAGTCTCTTGTACATTGTCATTCAGTTCATTTTCACACAGCGACAGGTGCTGATGTTACATTGTGATGAACGTATAAAGGTTATAATTAAACATTAAATTATCAACTACGAGTTTATTATTTATAGGGCTGAGTTGGCCCTCTGACCAAGTTGAGTTTAACATGCCTGCAGTAGAGCTTTTGATTCATTATACTGCCCTGCATCCTCCAATAGTATAACAAAACTTCAAGCTAAACACTTCTCATCAGTAGCTACTACAGTTTTCTCAGGTGACAATAAAAGTAAAGGTATCTCTGTACCAGGCCGTGGAGGCCCATATGGTTGTGAGATGTTGAGGTTTTCTAGACAGTCGGCTTGTAGATGGTGTCAAGGTTGTCAGCCTTATGCACCCGCCGCCCTTTACCCGCAAGATTATTCCCGGTACTCATTTCTGTTAGAAGCTGAGTCGACCCCAGGGCCATAGTGCGGCTGAAAGGATTAGGTCAATTGAAAAAAATCCAATGACCTCATCAGGAGTTGAACCCGCAACCTTCCAGCTTGTAGCATACTGCCTCAACCAACTACACTATCACGTGCCCCGTGTGTATATACAGGGTGTCCCAGGAGGAACATGCCAGACTTCAGGAGGGTGTTCCTTATGTTAAAGTATGCCGATATAACCCAAAACACCTATGTCCAAAGTTGAACGGTTACGGAGATAATGGCCAGAGAAGTGTGAAACTTTGACGGGTGTTACACACTTGTTGATTACCAAATACATATTATAACTGGCAGGAATATGTGGTTTCTATAATGTTAATGATGTACGTAAGATCAAACTAACTTGTGAGTGACATGAAGCCATTAAATTGAACTACAAAAAACTCGCATGCCATGTCATACTTGTCCTTAGGTTTCCAAGCACTATACATGAGACATGAATGGCAAGCACTGACGTAACATGGCTGACTGCACATTCTGATATAAGCCGACTGCATAACTACTAAAATACAGTACCTGCTTTTTAGTAATTGTTCAAAGTGTTCTCCACCAGCTGCAGTGCAGTTTTCAGCACACATCATGAGGGACTGGGTAGCAGAAGCAATGTTGCCTGGATGGTGACATATGTGTTCTGCCGCTGCAAAAATATGATCCCGCAGTGCTTCTCATGAATCGACCTTAGTCTCATAGACTAACGTTTTCGTGTGGCCCCAGAGGTAATAATCTAGAGGCATAAGATCTGGCAACCTGCATACATGATACGCCAATGCGAGAGGCCATTCTACGAGTGGACAGACGCAGACTTCTCTGAACCATCTAAAGAATGTTCTCTCATGTCGTACATCCTACCTTTCAGAGTGCACGGAAACACTCAGAAGAGAACCAGTATCACGCAATGTCTGGTGAATTCACGTAAACACACTTCGAGATGGAATCCTTCGATCAGGAAAATGCCTTTGGTATTTGCCTTTTCTTCAACAGCAGCACGTGCATTGCCACCGCAAAATCCATACACAAAATGCATATCACAATATTCCACGTGTGAAAACACAAAAGGCATTTCAGCAACTCCGCAGAACTAATTTACCAACCTTTCACAACGCGGGCACAACATACCCTGAAGGTAGCACATAAGCTTACAGCTAGTGTGAATCACCACACTCAAAGACAAACATAGATAAGACTTGTCAGCTGACAGGTAGAGTGCATGGACCTGCCAGAAGACCACACTTTTCTCGGACCATTATCTCCATAACCGTTCAACTTTGGACATAAGTGTTTTGGGTTATATCAGCATACTTTAACATAAGAAACACCTTCCCAAAGTCTGGCACATTCCTCCTGGGACACTCTGTATGTATATATATATATTAAATTTCAGTTTAATTGAATGTACAGTAAACCCTCACTAATCTGGATTAATTGGGGTGAGAGGTAATCTGAATTAAGTGATAATTCAGATTAATGAAGCAAAAGATAACTCTAAAGACAGAAAAAACTTTAATAATATAGGTAGTGGTGCTGATGAAAATGTATAAGAAAATATCACTGCAGCAATTTCTTCCTCTGTTGGAAGCTGAAATCCAGGGGTCTACTTCATCCAGTTCAAGCCAGTCTTGGATACTTTCTTGTGTGGTTTCAGTCTCTCCAGCTGCTCTGAACTCGGAAAGTCCCCTTGCCTCTAAATCCCATGTGTCTTTTAAAGTATGTACTCAACTGTGAACAGAATTTTTCATATTTTGATCTGGATTAACTGTAACTAGATTAGCGAGAGTTTACTGTATATGCCATCTGCAATGAAAATGAAGTTCAAGGCTGCAGTCCTGTCTCGTGACAATCCTGTAACTGCTTCCACAGCTTTGTGTTCAAGACATCCTGAGGACATCCCAAGTAGCTTTACACTTTGACATTATGTTATGTATACATCATATATCTCTGTGTGTTGTGTTTTGTAGCATACATGGGGAAAGAGACTGGTGGAGGGGAAAGGTGGAGCCCAGGATGTGACGAACGTGCAGAAAAGGAGCGAAGGTTACCAGAGACATCTGAGAAAAGTGGTACAGTACCAGAAGAAGGAGGAAATATGCATCAGCAGCAACCTGTGCAAAACAGTGCCAACAGTAACACCAGCAGTAGGCATCGTTTGACTGGTGGATTAGGAAGAAGCAAAACAAATCCTCCTGGACTACAAACCTTACCTCGGGGTCGTGGTCCTAACCCTTCTACAGTGATATTGGAGGGAAATCACAAAACACTACCCAGCTGCCGACGTGATGGCCCTGCTGTGAATGGAGCCCAAGTGGCACCACCCCCTCCACGCACTTCCCATCCACCTCCCTCTCATGAGGATAGAAAAATGTTCTTAGTGCCCTCTGAGATGATCCAAGTATCTCCACATGCTAATGTGGCATACACGACTGTAAACTCTACTTCCCAGCCGCCAGCACCTCAGTATTCCGGTAGTAGCGGTGGGAGTAATCCTCTGCCACGGCCTGCTGACAGTAGCAACGTGCCTTACACCCCTGTCACTACATACCTCCCACATGGACACTATCCAGCACTGCGAACCACTGGTTCTCTCTTTCCAAGCTTTCCACCTGGGAGCTACATCCGGCCTACCTACCAATATCCAAATGGAGAACTGGTATACCAGTACCATGGGCCCCAGACTCCTCCTCCCCCTCCTCCAACGCAGTTCATACCAACTCCTGTTGTGACCTACTCCACTGTTGTTCCTCCACCTAAACTTTCATGTTACAACTGTGGAAGTCAGAACCACCATGCCAGTGACTGCAAAGAGAACACCATGGAGGAGATGACAAAACAAGGTGAATGAACTGCACATCACATGCATCAAGAATTTTCCAGTTCAGATGATATAGATTGGTGGTTTCCTTATCTCTCAATCTTTAAATTATCACTTGTCCATGTTTCCTTTCAGGCCAGTACCGTCTGGACTATTCACCCTACCAGAAAACAGGAGAGTGCTCATCAGAGAAGTGACCCCAGCGATTGTCTTACCAGAAATTGGTGCCAGTATTCCAGGAACCTGGACCATGTCTGGCGAGCAGTGAACCACATCCATACCGTTCATACATGTACTGGAAACTGCTTCACACGGCAAGTCACAGTCGTTCTCGAGACTCATCGTGATCCTCATGAAAAGGGCGTTGCAATGAATTATAACCAGTACTTGCTTACAGCTTTCTATGAGATAGCAGGATTTGTTTTATAATGTATCGTTCCCGGTGTTCTTGCCACAGAGAACTGTGTCTTTTAAAAGGTGTCAGAATATATTAATATATATACAATATTGTACAAATCTGTGTAAATGTCATGTAGTGTGTGTACAATTTACAGAGAGAACTGAAAGATGTGTGCATCAGATGTGACCAAACTAACAAACCTTTAAATCACACCATCTCATGACACACAAGTCAGGTGTGCAAAGGTTACAATAGGGTTCATATGCCAGCATGGTTTACTATGCAACAAGAACGGTATGCCATTTATCTCTCCATAGTGGTTGCATCCTACCCAGTGATTTCAAGTCAGGAAATGAGTTCCCACATTTTCTCAATCTTTTAGATAATGTTTGTAAGTCTTATTTTAGCAGCAGTTTCATAAATGGAATCTGAGAGATAAATATTATTCAGTATTTAACTTTCGAACTAACACTTCTGATGCAATATTTTGTTGTGTGTTTAAATGATGAATTGCACACTGGGTCATATTTGTGTTACATTTGCTCACTCTCTGTGTTCTGTTGGACTTGACATTTCATCATAAAGACTTGTTAGCAACCAATACTTGTACTAGCACAATTAAATTTGACTTGCTGAGAAGTTGGCATTGCAAGTATTGCAGGATGTCATTTTTTATCCAGTGTTAAAAGACACAGAGACTAAAGTGTTTGAGGTGAAGTGAAGCATACCATTATTGGAACTGTTAAAGTGTTGCTAGGGCAACCTTTTAAAGAGCGCAAAAATACTCGCACAGCATAGACCCTTTTAATTTATTTTAATTTTGGATAGACTAGCAGAAATTATTTTCTACATCTTGACCTAGCATACAATTTGTTTCACTGCATATCAATGAACTGGAAAGCATTTTGCAAATAAACAGCAGCTCTGCATGTTAAATTACCTTTTGTCTTTCCTCTACATGGAAACCAGATTGAGTGTAAGGTGTTACCCATAAACTATTATGCAGAGAGTCAATCCATTATTTTATTTACTCAGTTGGCATTAAATCAGTGAATCTATATAATGGTGTGTTTATGGGAGCTAAGGACTCCTGGCAACTAGTAAGAAACCTAAACTTCCAACAGTTCAGCAGTCAGTTATGCAGTTATCTGGATGCATTACTCATAATAATGGACAGGCAGTATGAGGCCAATAAAAGTCAATGTTTGTACATAAAAGAAGTAAAATAGAATAAATATAACATACGAATGTTTTTAAGTACATGTGATGTGTATATACATAATTATATGCAGTTGAGTAATGAATATTGAAATATATTTGTAAATTAAGTTGTAATGAGTGCATTAAAACATTTTACCATTATGTATTAAAAAAACTGAAATAAAATGTAAAATCACAATTTTCATATTATGATTTGTTGATGGAATACTGATGACATTTTGCATTATTCAGGGTTTTCAGATATATTTGAATGTGATTTTTCTTTATCCTCACAACAGTGTGACTATGAAGAGTTCTTGCCATTTATTTATCCAGGTACTCCTAATGAATTTAGTTAAGGTGATTATTAAACTTAAAATGTATTTATAATTTATGTTTGGCTTCTACATTTTTATATTAATTTAATTTCAGTGTGAATGTTTTAACATCATATTCCATTCTCCTATATGTGTAATAATTTTTGTGAAAATTCTTCAAATGCTGAGTGACACCCGAATGTCTGGTATGAACTGTGACATCTCCCAGCTTCAGTCAGTGTCAGATGTGGAATTTCAGTTAGAATTCCTTTTAACCCTTCAGCGTGGGCATTTAAATATCGCTGTTGTGGGGCCTCCTGCAGTAGTATTTTTTAATTTCCCATTTAAATTTTTCTCTAAATTATATTATGTATCATAACTTTTGAACTATATGAGGTATAATTATGAATTTTTCACTGAAATCGTCTTAAAAGATGGTTTTATAATCTTTCCTTATAATATGAGCACCCTGTATCTGAGCAATGGAAGCAAGTGGATTAGAAGTTGAGTTTTGTATGGTATTTCTTGAAACATCCATCTAAACAGAACCCTGCCTCACAGCCACTACACCAGAAATAAATTCTTTCCTTTTACCACGTTTTGCGTACACCACACATATTTTTTTGAGGCTTTGCTTTTTTCCTTTGGCTGGAATATGCTCCAGGAAATGTCGTTCTGTGAATCTTTTAGGCGGCGGCTCAACTGGCGGACGCCCATATACAGGATGAGGAAAACCAGAACCGTGATTTTCTATGAGGCCTTGTGCTAGTGAAATTCTGCCCATGTTTTTGTTGTTCGGGAGACACCGATATGTGACCATTGCGTTATGTATACCACTTAGTACTCTTCTTTCGTTCAAGTAAGTATGGCTGTAGCATTTGATCTGTCAGATCCACTTCTAGCATGTTTCTGTTGTAATCACAAACAACCAAGGGCTTTGTTTCTTGTTTGCTTTATTCACAACCACACGCATATCATCTTTGTGGTATGTTATCATAGTCACTCGGCCATCGCAACTGTGAGGTCAGTGTTCTATTTAGACTGACTGGCAGAGCTGCAGGGAATTGAATGTTATGTTTACACGAACAGAGAGTGCATTCTTTTCACAACAGCCCAGTGCAATCGTCGTCATGCTGGCATGTTTCGTTCCATATTTATGGGCCTTCGAAATTAAGCTTACAGCTTGGCGTACAGTGTACGGCAAACCACAGGTAGGACCATTTAAATACCAGCGTACCGTGTACAGCAAACCATGCTGAAGGGTTAATCACAGCTGTGACTACACGTATGATCCAACTACATAGGTTGGATAAAAAGTAGTGGCAACACCTCTCTAGTTCTGAAATGACTTTACCTGAGGTAAACACGTACATTCCTTCAATATAATCGCCCCTCCATGTGTACCACTATCTGCCAAATTTGTGGAAGGCATCGTACACCATCAGTGCGTCCAATTCTGTTGATGTCCAGAAGTGACCGCCCTACAGCAAAAATAATATCTCTTGTGTTGTAACGTAACCCTCGCAGTGGTTCTTTCATTTTGGCATAGATATCATAATTGCATGGACTCATATCGGGTGAGTATGGCGGATATTGCAGTATCTCCCATCGCCAGCAGTAAAGGAGATCCTTTACAGCATCAGCAGTATGAGCCCTTGCATTGTCATGAAGGATGATGGGGGTCATTGCCAACAAGTGTCATCGCTTTCTCCTGAGTGCTGGATGAAGATGATTATGCAGGAAATTGCAGTAGTAGGCAGCGTTTACTGTCTGTCAAGGTACAATGTGGTGCAGTATCACTCCATTAATGTCATATGCCAATGAACATTGCCTTCACATTTCTCTGTGTAGGGCGCACTTTCTTTGACGAGGAGAGCCAGGGTGCTTCCATTCATTTCATTGTTGCTTCAAGTGTGGTTCATATGAGCGAGCCCAAGTTTCGTCCAGAGTGATGATCCTTCCAAGGAAGTCATCACTTTCCTCTGGTACCGGTCCAACAAGTCCTGTGCAACTGCATAACGTTGCCATTGTTGCACCTCGGACATTGTATGGGATACCCAATCCGCTGCAATTTTGTGGTATCCAAGAATACCGTGCAGAATGTGGAGCACAGTTTTGTGACATACGCCTACTCAGCAGCTAACTCCCACGCAGCCCAGCGACAATCGACATCCAACAAAGAAGCAAGAAGCTGAATTGTGTGGTTGTCAACATGGGGTCGTTCTGAACGATGGCTGTCCTGAATGGCATCACTCCTTTCACAGAACAATTTCACCCATCGTGCCACTGTGCGATATGGCAAAGCAGCATCACCACATGCTTTTCACAGGTCCTGATAACAGTTTTGTTCACTACAATCTCGTGCAACTTCAATTTTTATCCAGGAGCGTTGTTCTTGTTTCATAAACATGTTCTTAGGGTGCTTGAACTGGGCTCCTGCACTTCAAGACGATGCACAATGAAACACAACCAGAGGCACTCACTGCACTACTTCAACTGAACTTCTGCTATCAGCTACAGACAGCATTAGTGCCACCTGATGCACATCTTTCATGTCACAGCAGTGTTGCCACTACTTTTTATTCAACCCTTGTATTTAATTTAACATTTCCACTCAGTTATGAGTGATACATATTTTTCAGTGATACAACAGTTTTGAATTATGGAAGTTACATTGTGAGAAGCTGAAAGTCATATCCAAACTGAAACACTGCATCTCAAATGACTTACTGACTTAATTCCTTTAGTTCCTAGTGGAACATAGGGATCTTGTGAAGCATCTCCATCTTTTCCTCTGGTTTGCCAATGCCTTAACCTCTCTCTAGGTCTTTCCCATCTCTGTTATTTCCTCTTTTGTTGTCCTCCAAGTTTTCCTTAGTTGCCCTCTCCTTCTAGCACCTTGGGGACTCAAGTCTAATGCATCTCTTTCTATGGCGCCAGCTGGTTTTCTTAACATGTGCGTGATCCATCTCAATTTTCTCTTTTTAATTTGGATGTCAATTGGTTTTGTTTTGTGATCTCCCACAGAGAATTATTCTATATTGTGTCTGGCCATCTTATGTTTAAAATGTGCCTTAAACACCAATTTACAAATCTCTGTAGTTTGTTCATGCTTGTTTTTAATACTTTCCATGTTTCACAGGCATAAAGGAGAATGGATTTTACATTAGTATTAAAAATCCATAATTTAGTTTTCTTTGAAAGATTTTTGTTCTTTCATACGTGATAATAATTGTATAAAAGCTATGTTTGTGTTTTTTATTCTTTGTTTTATGTCTTGGTCTGTTCCTCAATCTTGAAGTACTATGCTTCCCAGATATATAAAGCTCTCTCTACCTGTTCAATTTATTTATTAGCGATGGATAGTTTCTCTTCTATTTGGGCATTTATTCTCCTCTCTTTATTTTTATTTACATTGATATTTATCCCAGCTAGCTTTGCTTCTTGCAATCTTATTAATTTATCCTTCATATCAATATATCTCTGTGACAATAAACATGTCATCAACAAACTCAAGGCCCTCCAACAGCCATGTCTTACATCATTTGTAATCTCAATGTAGTCTCTAAGTTTTTCTTCCCTTCCTGCACCTAAAATGATCATACATACATTGTATTAAACTTAAAAACTTTTTTGGTATTCCATATTCTGTAGTGTTTGCCACATGATTCTTCTATTTATTGAATCAGATGTTCTTTCAAAATCTATGGTCAAATATGAGGTAGTTTGAAATTCATTACTTTGTTCTAGGATAATTCTCGGTGTATTATGTCAACACCACTACGCTGATGACAAAATCAAGCCTTTTGTTTACAAAGGCGTAGTCAACTATGTTCTTAATTCTATTTAAAAATACCTAGAAAGCAATTTACTTGGATTCTCAGCAATGTTATTCCTCTCTAGTTATTGCATTTTGTTATATCTCCTTTTTTGGGGGGTATTTTGATTATAAGACCATCTTTCAAATCTGTTGGAACCCCCTTTCCCCCCCCCCATATTTCAGTTAGTAGAGGGTGTAACAGATTTACAGTGGTTTCAATATCCAATTTTAACATTTCTGGGCATATATTGTCAATTCCTGGTGCCTTGCCATATTTTGTCTCTTTAATGCCCTTTTAAGCCCTGAGCATGTTGGGGGATGTAGTTTTATTCTTATAACTTCATTTTTATTTTCTTCTGTCTCTTCTTCAGTACTCTGTGTCTTTTTATTTTTGTCTTTGTTCAAGATTCTCGAGAAATATTCTTCCCACCTTTTTAGTTGTTCCTGTGTTGCAAGGAGTTCCCCTTTGTCATTTTTAATTGGT